AGCCTCATATTTACAGAGTATTAATTCTTAAACATGTCTGTATGTTGAATTAATATGTTTAAGAATTAATACTCTGTAAATATGAGATTGAGCTTCAAATATAATCTTAGAAAAGATGTGGTCCATTAATAAAGGTTTCCTCACATGGTCACTTTGTGGTATGGTGCTTTTTGTTTGTGGGTGGGGGTGGGATACTGGTTTGAACAGAATAGTGTGATGTTTGGTGACACCACTTCTGGGACCAAATGTGTTACTATTTTTGTGATACCAGAAACCAACTTTCTACAGCATCTGGGTGTCCCAACAATTGAGTTCAGTTTTGACACTGACTATCTGGAGCTAGTACAGACCCTACAGGTTAAGGCCTCTGTTTCATAAGACTGCTTCTGCTTAAGATGCCAGCTGCAAATGGGATGTCCAGGCATCCCACATTTTGTAATCACCCAACTGGTTCTCCTTGCCCATTGCCTAGACAGAGCCAATTTATTAAGACAGGGAAATTGCAATAGAGTAAGAGTTTAATTCACATGGAACTGGTTATACAGGAGACCAGAGTTTTATTATTACTCAAAGCAGTCTCCTTGAAAATTCAGGGATCTGAGTTTTTAAGGATAATTTGGTGGGTAGTGGGCCAATGAGTCAGGAGTGCTGATTGGTTGGGTTGGAGATGAAATTATAGAGATGTTGGAAACAAATGCTTTGTGCCACAAAGAAGAACTAGCACTCAGGCAAAAAGTTTTCTCAGCAAGGCAATTTACTTCTGCAAAAAGGTGCTGCCTGCGTTAGTCACGATTGCAAGAGCACACTGAACAAAGGAGAGAAGGGATTTTTTATCCCTAATGCAGTTCCTGTCCGTGTGTCCTTCCCCTATTGGCTAGGGTTGGACCACACAATCTAAGCTGATCTTGGTTGGCTAAGGCTTAAACTCTTCTAAATATGGTTAATGTGTAATTTGTAACAGAAGGAGGGGTTGGGAGTAGTCTGATCATTATGGTACAAGGCATGTCTGGACATACCTGGGCATGTCAGGGTGCTAGTAGAGTGGAAGGGTGGTTTGCCAGCTAGAAACAAGAGAGTATAAGGAGGTTGGGCTTTTGAGCAAAGGATAAGAACATTACACACTTAAACCTTTTGAAGAGGAATTTATTATTCCTAACAGAGAGTTGAAGCTGTCCTCTTGGTGCTGAGTCAGTACCTGAGTGCAAGACCAGATGAGCCAGTTTATCGATCTGGGTGGTGACAGCTCAGAGGACAGGGTCTGCAGAATATCTCAGGCACCGATCATATTTTTATAATCGTGATGTTATCCCCAAGAGCAATTTGTGGAGGTTCAGAATCATGCAGCCTCCAGCTGCATGACTTCTAAACCATAATTTCTAATGTTATGACTAATTAGTCCTACAAAGACAGTCTAGTCTCCAGCAGGAAGGTAGTTTGTTTGGGGAAAGGGTTATTATCGTCTTTGTTTCAAAGTTGCGCTATAGATTACATTCCTCCCAAAGCTGAGCTGTAAACTACGTTCCTCCCAAAGTTAGTTTGGCCCTGGAATGAACAAAGACAGCTCGGAGGTTAGAAGTAAGGTGGAGCTGGTTAGGTGAGATCTCTTGCACTGTAATAATTTTCTCAGTTACAGTTTTTGCAAAGGTGTTTTCAATTTCTACCTGTCTGACTACAAATTTGAGGAGTCCCATGATACCCACCTCCAGGTTTGATAATTTGCTAGAACTACTCTCAGTACTTAGGAAAGCACTGTACTTACCGTAACAGATTTATTATAAAGGATACAACTTAAAAACAGTCTAATGGAAGTGATGCATAGTGCAAGACGTTAGGTTGGGGATGGCACAGAGCCTGCACATTCATGTGTTCATCAGCTTGGAAGTGCTCTGAATCTTGATGTTTAAGGGTTTTTATGGTGGTTTCATTACAGTATAGGCACAGTTGATTAAATCCTTTTTATTAGTGATTGAGCTCAGTCTTCAACCCTTCTCCCTTCTTCAGAGGTCCGGAGGTGGAGCTAAAAGTTCTAATCCTCCAATCACTTGGTTTTTCTAGTGACCAGCTACTATCATGAAGCATCTAGGACCCTTACTCCCACTTCCTCCCATTAAGCTATCATTAGCATATGAAAGACAGCACATTCCAAAGGTTTTTGGAGCTCTCTGCCTGAAACTGGACTCAAAGACCAAATACTGATTTTTTATTATACCTCAATTGCATTATTGCATTGCTTCAAATTCTGTATAAGTAGGGAATATTACTGAATGTTATTGGATTTAAGCATATGTGACATTAACAATTTTTGTACATACATTATTTTCCATTTTTGTACATCTAACATTTTAATAAAACTGGTTAAAATTAACAAAAATGAATTGATTTAAAATTTTTATCTTTTCATTGGAAATATTTTACTCTATATTATTAGGCTTGGTTAGTCATGGATCTGACCATTTGGCCACTAGTCTAAAGCAAATAGTAAATTCACTTGGGAAGAATATAATTTACTAGACTTGAGGACCGCATTCTTTTCTTAAAAAGAGTGGGTTACTCTGGAAGTTTACTTCTTCCTTTTTGGTATTTATATGCCTGAATATTTTTGCTGGTTCCGGGAAGGGATCTTTTTGCCATCGGGACATTCGGCAACATTTAGTTTTCACAGTTGTGGTGTGGGGATTGATATTGTTATCTAATGGGTCTCTAGATGCCAGGGATGCTACTCAAAATTCTATAATGCACAGAGCAGCCCCCCACAACAAAGAATTATCTGACCCAAAATGCTAATTATACTGAGTTAGAGGAATCCTGCTGTAGGCCAATTTGTGCATCATCAGTGTCTAGATGGTATTTAAAGCTTTGAAGCTATGGGTGTCCTCATCCACTTAATTGATTTTACCATTTTGATAGATAATAAGGAAATATTTCTCTTTCCTGTTCCCTAATGCCTTATTGAGAGATTAAACTCTAACCATCCAAATTACCTAAATAGGGTTAGCTTATCTAGAGTGTGGTTTTGGAAAACAAAACAAAACAAACTATAAACCTGTCCAGTCTTTAGAGTCCTAAACCCTTAGGGATGACTTTCCAGATCTCCACTGAAAAATGCTTCAGGACATTGGTCTGGGAAAAATTTCATGAGTAAGAACTCAAAATCATAGGCAACAAAAGCAAGAAAGAAATAAATGGGTATATGTCAAATTACACTTCTAGATAGCAAAGGAAACAGTCAGTATAGTGATAACCTATAAAATGAGAGAAAATATTTGCACACTACCCACACTACAGGCAATATCTAGAATATACAAGGAACTCAAACATCTCAACAGCAAAAAAAAAATTGTTTTAAAAATGGGCAAGTGATCTGAACAGATGTTTCTCAAAAGATGTGCAAGTGGCTAACAGCTAAATGAAAAAAATGTTTATTATTACTCATCATTAAAGAAATACAAATCAAATCCACAGTGAGGTATTATCTGTTAGGATGGCGGTTATCAAAATGACAAAAAACAAAAAAATGCTGGTAAGAATGCAGAGAAAAAAGAAGTCTTACACTCTGTTGGTGGGAATGTAAACTAGTACAGCTACTATGCAGAACAGTATGGAGCTTCCTCAAATAACTACACATAGAACTATTAATACGGTATGATTCACGAATTCCACTACTGGGCATTTATCCAAAAGAAAGGAAGTCAGTATACCAAAGAGACATCTGTACCCCTGTGCTTATTGCAACACTGTTAACAGTAGCCAAGATAGGGAATCAACCTTGGTGTCCAACAGATGAATGGCTAAAGGAGATGTGGTATATATACACAAAGGAATGTTATTCAGTCATAAAAAGAATGAAATTCTATCATTTGTGACAGCATGAATGGAACTAGAAGACATTAGATTAAATGAAACAAGCCAGGAACAGAAGGTTAAACACTGCATGTTTTCACTCATATATGGAACCTAAGAATAGTTGATCTCACGGAAATAAAAAGTAGAGCAGAGGATACTAGAGGCTGGGAAGGGAAGAGGGCATGGGAAAGGATAGGGAGAGATTTGTTAAAGGATACAGAATTACAGCTACATAGGAGGAATAAATTCTAGTGTTCCGTACCATTGTAGGATGACTATAATTAGCAATAGTATATAGTTTCAAATTGCTAGAAGGAGGATATTGAATGTTCCCAACAGAAAAAATAATTATAGATGTTTTAGATGCTGGATATCCAAATTACCCTGATCTGATCAGTATATACCATATGTACTGAAATATTACCATGTACACCTGGCATATGTACAGTTATTATTTTTTTTATTTATTTTTGAGATGAAGCCTCGCTCTGTCTTCCCGGCTGGGGTGTGGTGGTGCAGTCTTGGCTCACTGTGAGTTCTGGCCTCCTGGGTTCAAGTGATCCTCCCACCTCAGCCTCCTGAGTAACTAGGAATACAGGTGTGTGCCTCCACGCCTGGGTATAAAAAATAAAATTTCATTTAAAAAATATTCAAGATGAAAAGAATTCTGGAAAACGGTTGCAGAACGATGTGAATGTACTTAACACTATTGAACTGTAAATTTAAATATAGTTAAGAAGATGAATTTTATTTTACATATTCCTTCTTACAATTTTAAAAAGATACTGTATCCAGTTCTTGATAGTTTCTTATGCAGTCTTCTAGTTTATTTCTCTAGGACTTTTGTTCTGTTTTGTTCTGTGTTTTTTTCTTGGTGAAGAGGGTTTATAATCTCTCATGTGATTTTTTCATTCTTTTCCAGCTGTTCCTTAATTTAAAGTATACAAGTTAGCCCTCATCTTAAAAACTGGACAACACTGGATTGATATGAAAGTATAATATTTGGGTTTTAACTTATAAATGTTAATTGAAGTATTTCTCAATTTGGGGAACTATGTGTGGTCACTGAATATTGGAAAAGAATTGTTTAGCTTCAGATACTTTGAGTATAAACCTTAGTGATGATTTCGTATATTCTTTTTCTTTCTTTCTAATAGGCTTTCAAGGATATGCTGTATTCAGCTCAGGACCAGGCACCTTCTGTGGAAGGTAAGATGAATTAACCCTTAAGTTTAATCACAGAAAATCACTTTTTAAGGAAAGATATTTTGTACTGCAGAGTATAAAACTAATACGATAACCTGTCCTATTATATAGGTCTTTTTTCTTTTAAGAATATATATTACGGCCGGGCGCGGTGGCTCACACCTGTAATCCCAACACTTTGGGAGGCTGAGGCGGGTGGATCACGAGGTCAAGAGATCGAGACCATCCTGGTCAACATGGTGAAACCCCGTCTCTACTAAAAATACAAAAATTAGCTGGGCGTGGTGGCGCGTGTCTGTAATCCCAGCTACTCAGGAGGCTGAGGCAGGAGAATTGCCTGAACCCAGGAGGCGGAGGTTGCGGTGAGCCGAGATCGTGCCATTGCACTCCAGCCTGGGTAACAAGAGTGAAACTCCGTCTCAAAAAAAAAAAAAAAAAAATAGAAAAGAATATATATTACGATTATTTTATATTTTATTCTAAATTTTTCTCTTGTCTAATGCACCTTTACCCTATGATGAATCTTTTACTATGTCCTTATGTCACCTTAGGACTGTGAATCATATATATCGATGTAGTCGTAGGTTTTTCTGTGCCATGCTTCCTTCTCCCAATATGTTTTCCTCCCCTCCCGTCCCCTCCCTTCAGGCATAATTTACACAACACATCTTTTCCTTTCTATATATGTCGTGCCTTTAGACTGGGACCAGTAAAACAATGGAGAATGTTTACAGTGAGTGTGTGTGTGTGTGTGTGTGTGTGTGTGTGTGTGTGTAAGCGTATTTATATATACATGTGTACATGTTCTTGTGTCAGTAAATAGGCGCTAGTTTAACAACCGTTCTTGAGGGAGAATGTTCCTTCTGAGGCTCGATATGCTTTTAAAATTCTACATTCCAATCTTTAAATCAGATTTTTAAAATGAGAGTTGAATATGAAAAAGTACATGTGGAGAATATTCTGGGTTGAATGTACAGGATAATATCTTTATGAGACAACAATTCTATGAAGTTATTCTAGTGACAAGCTATTAGAGGCTTGTTCTCATGACAACAGATGTTGAAGTTGTTTAATAAAACTGTAGATTTATAGTTAAAACTCTCATTTCATCAGTCATATAGAAATACACACCTTTCATCTCGAACCAGTCTGAATTAAAAATGTGTTTCCTCTGAACATCTAAAAATCTTTTCCCTTACCATGTCAAGTCAAGCATTGGCCGTTAGTTTCATGTCACTGAATTTTAGACTATAATGTATTTAATTCTCTAATATTTATCTCAAGACACTTAAGGTTTATCAATATGTTTAGTTTTTTATTGGATTGTCTCTTATTTTATATGCCATGAAGAATACCTTCTTTAGTTATTTTAAGTATATAAGAAAAATGAAGTTCCACAGAAGCTGAACTGATTCCTTACTGTGTATAACTTGCTTTAATATAGGTTCTCTTATTTTACTATTGTTTGTAACAAAGATACTCTGAGATAAATTGAAAATGATGATGATATTTATTAATCCTTTTTATGCTGGAACATGTTTCTATTATTTTTTTCATTTACTTTCAGCTGTTATTAGAGAAAAACTGAATTTTGTGAAAGTATGCTCAAAATGACAAATACTTAGAGCTAGGAGCCTTTTCTTTTTCTCATTATTCAGAGACATTAACTTCTTTGGACCATGTTATAGAGGGAATATTGTAGGAATATGTATCACTTTCACAAGAAAAACATCACACATTTGTGTTTATACTTTCGTGTAAACGTAATATAAAACTATGTCAATTTTTATCTTTTTAAACCTGAATTTTTCTCTTGAAAGAGTGGAGAATTGAAGATACTGTCAGGTGGTTTAAGGAAACAGTCTATGTAGTATTGAAGTTAGAAAAATGTATTAAAGAGAACAGTAATTCTCTCTTTTGCATTACGATTTTATATTATCTCTTATATGATGTTCAGTTTAAATGACAATCATTTCTGCATCTTATCCATGCTACTCATTGTGTATTTTTAGGCTTTTGTTTAGCAGTTATTTATTTAAAAAACTGCAGCATATGCAGTTTTCAACAGAGTCCAGGAGAGGGCTTTAAACTTGAAACATTTTTAAAGGAAAAAGATATTTGGTAGGATTCTTTTTTGAATATTGCCTTTCTCTCTTTACTTCATTCGCCTTTTTTCCGCCTACACTTTAAGTTTTAGTAGACCTAAAACCTTTGATGCCAGAGAACAAGTTTCTTTTTACCTTGAAACTTACAGTATACCCTAAGTAGTGGCTTTCAGATCTGCTGAGCAACTCAGCTCCTCAATGGGGAGGGAGTCTTTTTATTTTTTTTAACAAATACCTACACTTGGTCCCCATTCTAAACCAGTTGAAATTAGGATCTAGGGGTGGAGTCATTGGTATTAATGCATGATATTGATATTGATTGGTATTTCTATATTCTTCCCAAAGTGATTCTAACATATAATCATATATAGCCAGCATTGAGAACCCCATCATTAAATCTTAAATTATCTTAGATTAGTATGATTAATGCTAGCCTTCTCTTGGATAATAGTTAACAATAGGTTTATAGGCTTCTTGAGTTTATTGATAGGTTGATTTTTAAAAAAAATCAGTATAAGAGTATTTTTTCCTTGTTTATAGTATCTAGAGGACATGTGTTTTTTAAATGTTTGTTGAATTGAACCTAAGTAATAGCTGTACCAAGATACTTAAATAACTTAGGTGGTTATAATCATAATTAGAGGTAAAAAACATTTTTTCCTGATTTCCTACTTAAGATATGTTATAGTATAATGAGTAGCTTCCACATATTTCATACTCCTCCACTTTTGTTTAAAGTGGCCTGGATTTATAATTATAGTCAAAGAAAGGTGACTTAAAATGGATTATTTAAGATTGAAATGATTTGTTTGATCAAAGTGTATCAGATAAAAGGCACAATATGTGAAAGCTTTTTTTGACAAGAGGTTGAACACAGATACTTTTTTATACTAGTGAATTACTACTTTCTTCTTAATAGGACATTTCAAGCTGGTACCTTTATTTCTTTGATAAAGTAGGCTTTTCCTCAATTAAAAGTAAGTCAACAAAACAATTTCAGTGTATTGAGAAATTATGTTGACTTTAGTTTGCTCTTTATTACTCAAATAAACATATTCAATTTCCTAGTTATTTTGTTTCGTTCTTTGAGAGTGAATTTCATGAATCACTTATATATTGCAAATTGCAAAAAAAACTATTTAAAATAAATATTTTATTGTTGTAACTAGGAAGTACTCATATTCTGAAATAATTAGATAAGGGCTTACTCTCAGGCATTTCTTTTCCATTTATATATAAATAGATATTTCTGATTTATTTTATTACCTGCTCTCCTATATAATTGCTGGTATTTTTGTGTAACCATTTACATTGGAAATATATGACTGAGATGTTGACTTAAAATTCTGTGTTGAAGATTATACAGTAGATTTTTTTTTTTTTTTTTTTGAGACAGGGTCTTGCTCTGTTGCCTAGGCTGGAGTACAGTGGCGCGATCTCAGCTCACTGCAACCTCTGCCTCCTGGGGGTTCAAGCAGTTCTCCTGTCTCGGCCTCCTGAGTAGCTGGGATTACAGGTGCCTACTACCATGCCAGGCTAATTTTTGTATTTTTAGTTGAGACGGGGTTTTGCCATGCTGACCAGGCTAGTCTTGAACTCCTGACCTTAAGTGATCCACCTGCCTCAGCCTCTGAAAGTGTTGGGATTACAGGCATGAGCCACTGCGCCCAGCCTATTGATTTTTGAAATAATAGAATATTTAAATTTTTACTATTTTGTTATCTTTTACTGCAGAAAGACTTGTAGATATAGAATACGTGGCAGTTAGGGGATGAAGGTGTCTAGAATGGTGGGGTTTTTATGATTCTTGGTATCAGTGAGTATACTACCTCTTGATATTTGTGACAAATTAAATTAAACTGCAAACTGGAGGTTCCCATCAATGCATCAGTCAGTCATACCTTAATAATCAGGGTTGTTCTGAGGCAGGATAATTTTTATACTTACAGATTAAGTATAACAGAATTCTTACATCTAGTACCCATTTGGCATTGTAAGTGTCAAGTTTTACCTTTTTTCATGCTCCCCGCTGCCAGTTTGGTGTCTCAATAATTTAATGGAATTAATCTAGTTGGTTAAATGCTCACATCTTACATCTTTTTTTTTTTTTTTTTTTAATTAACTGTCTTCCCGCTTTCCCAGGATACTTTTAAAGTCAGATATATATATATAAATTATGTGCTGTATTTGATTAATCTATTTTAGTTTTTTCTTTGAATTAATTTCAAGGAATGCTTCAAACTTCATTTTGTGATATTCTTTTTTAAATGTAACTTTCGTTTAAAAATGTTGTTTTCTACTTTTTATTTGTGAAGGAAAAACATGCAAATCTGACAGTCAACATAGGTCGCAAAACTAAGAAATTAACATTTCTTAGTTTTTTTCTAATGGAAAGGACATTAAAACATCATTTTGCTTAGCCTTTGTTTTAGTTATGTGCAATCTGAGACCACCTTAAGGTTGCATGACTCAGTAATGACAGTCGGGATTATTAATGCTCTATTTGACAACAAAAGAGAATTCTGGAGATTAATATAAAAAGACTTTTTTAAAAATGACTTTGTATTTTTTTCCAAATGATAACTTTGAACAGAATTTTAATTGGACATTTCATTGTATGTCTATTTTTAAAAGATGTAAGAATTTTTTTAAAACATTACTTTGAAAAATACTAGACTATTTAACTTGTTAGAAAAAAGCAAATTGTATCTTTCAGTAAATTTCTCTCTCATTTTTTTTTATTACTCCATGTAGTTCCCAGAAGTGTTGGGGAAAGTTTATAGAATAAGATAGCACATATTAGATATCAGTAGTTACAGAGCTTAGAATAAGGGGAAAATGAAGATTAGTGAGAATAAAACTAGAGTAACTTAAATACATAGAATAAATGCCATGAGG